GTAAAATAATGTAGTGTGTAAAGTGAAATAAGTCCTGGCCATTGCCAAGCACTGCCGCACTGCCGACATACATGTACTAATAGTAACTGGGTCAGTTATTTCAGTTCCACTACAAACAGTGGTAGAGAGTGATTGACATAGTTCATAGAGGGCAAACCATTGTAGAGCTGAGTAGATCTTTTTAGCCACTGATGAACATTAGACCTTGAGCTATTTATGGTTGGTTTTTGTCTGAATTTAGTCTGCATTTGAAATATGATGAAGGCTGTCACCAAATCCTTTCTATTGAAAGAGTTATATCACTGAATGTATGTCATTTTTGTACTTAACTTCATATGTTTTGCACTGCATTGTTGTACCTCACTGATCTCTGCTTATATACAAGTTGCCATACGTTGTCTATTCGTAATATTGAAAATAGAAATTGTCCCCTTACCAATCTATTAGAGTAAAGTAGTGCCCATTCTTACCCCAATCCCCACTATTTTTTGAATTCTGAACTTTAATTTATTGCATTTTGCCTATTTTCCAATTTAAAATGCCACCAACATAGGGTTTAATGCTTTAATGGAATTGCAACATCATTGCTTCTATAAAAACAAGTTTGGTTTCTCCAAATTTGTATTTGCTTTTTGTCATTTTTTTATGGGATCTTTCACTCAGCAAAATATCATTGTCAATTTGTAGTCCTTTCAATTGTTTTTTATTTTTTAGGAGTTGTGTCCATACCTAATACATTTTCAGTTTTTGTCTTACTGAAATCTCTGCTTTCTATTGTAAATATCATTACTGAAACCATGATTCTCAATCAAAATAAATGATACCATAAAACACAGTCATTATAATTAAAACCTTTTATTTAAAAAAATGCTTTTCACTGTAAAATTGACAACGCCCTTGCACTGCAATATTTCTATTCATAGTCCTTCAGGTGCTGACCTGTTTTGGTAATAAATCTTATTTTTCTGTCAAAGTTAAGATCTAATCATAATGCCCGATTTACTTTTTTTACCTTAACTGTGTTGTATGTGTAGCTACATGAATTTTAACATAATGTTTTGTACTTTTAGGATGTTTTAGATTCCAAGAATAGTGCTATTAAAGATCTCCAGTATGAGTTAGCCAGAGTCTGCAAGGTAAGTGCTGTTAATATAATTAGACTTTATTACTTTATTGTTTTAAATAATTACTCAAACATTTTCGGTTTCCATATATTTTATTATACCTCTATTAGTAGTTCATACCCTTGTAGTACACTGTAAATCTGCTTGCTTTTAATGTAAGGTCAAAGGTTTATGACTGCAGGTGTACACACCTCAAACTATATCTGAGCAACTGCCTGCAAATTGAATATATCAATTAGAGCATAACTTAAAACAGCCTGTAACACAAGTTTTGATAGGTAGTTGACAAGTAGTTGGTTAAATGTAAAGTGTACACCCTTAGCTGTGTGTCTACTATAATGTTCAAATACTAATACTTTATCCCTCGCGAGTTGAGTTGATTGGTTAATAACTATGACCTTTGCACCATGTTAGTAATTGTATTTAAATGGACGATGATCCATGTAGTGACTTCCTCTTGTAAAATTGTCACTTTATTTTTGTCTCTGTTGTGTTTATAGGACGGAAAATTCCACTGCTATACAAATACTAAGTGTGTTGATGACGTCAGTGTCAATTAACCAGTTGTTTAGGGACGACGTCAAAAGATCGATGTCGGATAAAAAACTTATTTGCTTTAGTTTGGGGGTGGGGGGTTTTGACCTCAAAAAGTTTCCATCCTACAAAAACGATTTTATTTTTTAATGAAGTAAAAAAAAACCTTGGAGTATTTGTAATTCGTTTTTTTCTATCCAATGATAGACAAAAATAACAGAAAATGAAAAATAAAAACATCCAAGACGAGAAAATGATTTGGTCCGAGTCTAAATATGTGCGTCATATGAGGTCAATTTCAGGGCATGGACCTAAAGCATGCGCAGAACCCAGAAAAGTAATTTGCGCATGCGTATATTCCGCTTCATTATTACAACCAACTGCTATGCCATACTGCTGCCCGATTATCAATTTGTATTTAATGGTGAATGTAGTCTGACGCCATGATCAATATTTATTAAATTAAAGTTTCAGTGGGGGGGGGGACTAAAAGAATTAAGTTTTTTATCCGACATTGAACTTTTGACGTCGTCCCTTAATGTGTTTGGAGTTAAGCCAATTGACTAACTCTAAGCAAGTTACCCTATAAGGCACATATGTACTTGTTGTTTACCATTTTGATTGTTTCTGACTGCCCATAAAATATAGCCTCTTTCAACTACTGTTTTGATTAGCTGTTCCACTCATAGAATCCACCCTTGTACCAGTGTCTCTCTCACACTCTCATTCATTCCTTTCTCTTGTAACATTTCAATAAACGTATGTAATATTTTAAATTTCATATTTTGCAGGCACACAATGACTTGATGCGAACCTACGAAGCGAAACTGACACAATTCGGAGTACCAACTGATGAACTTGGGTTCAAACCACTAGAGAGCACTGTAGGAGGACAGCAACTTGGACAGGGACCTGCTGGACTTGTTGCAGCTCCAACATAGGAACATTCCATTTTAGATGATGATAGTTACCCATTTGGAGTTGTACAGTTAGACGTCCATCTTCCACAATAAATTTCTGTTGTATCTCCCCAGCTGTTGTAGTTTAATTATGTTACAAGCCTCAAATCTGTCTACTGGATGAAAAAAACGAAAACAGTTTTGCGTAAAATGTGAAACTATTGTGAAATCTTTGTATATATTGTGAAATAAACATTTTTAAACTAATAATAAACTATTTTAGATATTGGTGATTTAGGTGAAAATGTCCGTCCATTTTGGCTTTTATATTACAGTTCTCATTATGTAGAAACTTCATTGGGAAATGTCGTTTTGAAACAACAATACTGTGGACATGATATATACAAATAATTGGTGATCACTGCATATTGGTGACAATTCAGTTTATTAAAATATCCATTGACTCAACTGCTGTCAGGGGAATACCAACATCTTGTCTCACTGTAAGCAAATTGTTGTGAATAATAAAAATGTTAAAAATAATTTGATTAAATGTTTTAAAGACTGCAATATTGCAGTTATTTTGACTAGACTGTATGTATAGCTATGTATTTTTGTTTCCCTCTGTGTTTTGTTAATTTGAATGACCCTTCACTGACATTTTTTCCCTAATAAAATCACATTTTATTATGTACTTTTGTCTCAGCATTGCATTTATTGACTAAGAGTATCCCAGTAGGTGTGCACCACTCCTGCCTTGTGATCTCATAAACCCTTATGTTTCCAATCAACTTGCAAAGCAGTGAATAAATAATAGAGCAGATGAATGCATTTGGACATGTTATTGTTGTCGTAAAACTGAGCACAGCGACCCTGATTACTTGTTTCAGTGCCAAACCTTGTATTACCAACCACTATAAAGTCTGATGTGGCATTGAAAGTCAGTCAAGCATGTTTGATATATGTTGGCTTTTATTTTTAAATTGTATAGGGGATGGTTAGCTATATGTCAGAAGACTAAGTATGTTGGTGTACAATAAAAGCTTGTCTCCGTCAATCCCTTTGTCACTGTTGGTCACTCAGTGCATTGTATACCAGTCACCTGTTGCTGACAGCGTGTATGTCAATCCTTGGTAGAAGATGTATGTCAATTGACTGGATAATGGAAATACTTACAGTATGAGGAGATAACTATACAAGCGAATACCATACTTGTTTTGTTTTGATGATAAGCTGACTAAAGTAAACCGATTGGGCTGTCAGTTGGAATCGATGCAAGAGGGGCTTATATTGAAGATAATGTATTTCTCTCTAAGTAGACACCTTACTGTTGATGGTCTGTCCATATGTGTTTATGTCATGTATGTTGCACATAATACACTAACTACATGTAGTACCATGAACTACTAAGTAATATGATAAATGCAGGGGTTTAACTGATTAAGTTCTTTTTTAAATAAAGAAAACAAATTGATGCCAAATTGTTGGCTGCACCTTTTCATCCAGTGTGTAATACTGTTTTAGACAGAACCTGTTGTCTAACAATCATTATTTCACACGAAATTTTTGAAATATGAGAACTATTTTGCGAGAAGTAGTTAAGTGACTGTATATACATTTATCTTAGTTTTGTGAACAGCAGTATAAAATAAAACTATAGTGTAATAGAAAATCTAGTCATCTGTTTTAACGGTAACCAAACATACTGGTTTCTCATTCGTTACCATAGTGACATGTAAATCTGCTCCACACAGACTGTTTAATCTGAGCTGGGTTAAATGAGATGGCTATGTGTCTAACTCTGTGAATGTTGGTAAAAAAACACCAATTGAGTACTAGTAAATTATTCCATGTTACTAAATAATAGGTTTCATATACATTGGGTACACTATATATATATATTAATTTTGTTTAAATTTGTTTTCTTTCTTTGACTAATATAATATTTATTTATTTCTACTTTATTTATCAAAAATCAGTATCCCAAAGTGGATATAGCAGCAATAAGGATATTATTATTATAGGTATATAGATACACATATAGACTATGCGCTAACCTGATTAGTTTTGGGTAAAAATTCATTCATATTATTCATTATCCAATTTGCATAATAATTAGTAATTTTTCGGCTTTTCTACTGATATCTCTAGTACTAATCATCACATTTCAGTGAAACATGGTACATAGATGCTCTAGGATAATTCTCAAACCTGCTCAGTTGTGGTTAGAAATCTGCACATACTAATTATCTGATTTGCATAATGATTTGTCAGTTTTCTGCTTTTCAGCTTACATCTCAGGTACTATTCGCATTTCAATGTAAATTGGTACATAGATGCTCTGGGACAATGCACATGCCTGATCAGTTTTTGGTTAAAATCTATTCATATTAATTACCTAATTTGCATAATAATTCATACTTTTTCAGCTTTTCCACCTATATCTCTCTGATCATCAAATTTCAATGTAACTATTTATTGATGCTGTGTGACATTACACAAACCTGATTAGTTTTACATTAAAATCTGCACATATTAATTTGCATAATCAGTCAGTTTTTAACTTTTCCATTGTTATCTCAAGTAGTAATTATCTTATTCTATGAATCATGCTACATAAATGCTCTAAGACAATGTTACGACCTAGTAAATTTTGGGTATAATTATAACAATAATTGTTATCTAATTTTCATAATAATTTAATATTAACCAATTTTTCCACTTGTACTAAGTATCTAAAAACAATTATTGCATACCAATAAGACTTGGTATATGAGTGCCTGAGGACAATGCTATATCCCTGATTAGTTTTGGTTTGAAATTCAAGCATACTGATTACCTAATTTACATAATATACATACTCATCACATTTCATTGAAATTTGGTTCATATATGCTCTGGGGTAATCCACAGACATGATTAATGTTGAAAACCATGCTTATTGATTATTTAATTTTTATTAGCCAATTTCTGTTATCTCAAAAAATCAGATATGAATTGTACAGAGGTGCTCTAGAATTACATGTAATCAGACTACAAAACACAGATGTAATATCACGTTTATTTGCTCTGGGTATTATGAACTTTAATATTGTGGATCACATAATTTTCCTGTTGTGCATCTTAAATAGAAGACAAATATCAGTCCTATGCTTCTTGTTTGAAGGTATTTTAGTAATCATTAACATTGCTATTAAAAAGTCTATGTGTGGTGAAAATGAAAATGTTCTACAATAATACAGGAAATGCCCAATTTAAACTGAATAGACGTTTTTTCTGAGAACCCACTCAGGAACATAAAGTAACATTTCTTCCAGGATATAGAATCAGTCATACGTGTTTACTGATACATTTGAATACAATTGTTATGTCTAGGCAGTCCAATTTTAGGAATGGCAAAATGTTTGCATAAATCGATGTAATTAGAATAAAAGGGTTCTTATTTGTACATGGCGCTGTAACAACATATTTGCTAACACAATGTACTGAGACCTTCACTGGCTGGTAACTGGTTGCCATAATTATTTACTGTGGAATACTTTATTTTCGCTAAAATAAATTTTCGCTGAAAAGGCTTTTTGGGCGTTTTGTATGGAATTTATTTTCACTGATTTCTGATGAGTTTAATGTGAAATATAGGAAAAAAAGTATATTCGCTGGATTTTATTTTCACGGAATCATCCCTTCAGCGAAAATAGCGAAAATAAATTCCAAGCGAAAATAAAGTATTCTACAGTACTTCAACTTTCTCAGACATGCAATTCAGCAATTTAACGTTGGAATGTATTTATTGATCACCTACATCATTAGATCATAGGTCATTCATGTGACGTCATTTTCATTGGTTTGCCCCATATAACTGCCTTAAACCTTATACCCTTATACTCAGACTTCAAAGCATAGTACTAGTACATAGCACAGATCAACTCTTGTATTCTATTTACAAATACTACTACTGGCACACATTAATGTAGTTAACTACCATTAAAACATACCAAATTTCCATGACTTGTACGATTTTATGATTTTATAATATGTATTGTTCACATAAACCAGATAAAAAAAATATTTCATCAGCGAACTACTTTTCCCGCCATTGGTTTCCCTGTCAGACCGCATCTCAAAATTGTGTTTACTTGCATCTGTTGAAACAGTCATATGTACTTATGAGATTGGTAATTAAGGATGTCCCGAATTATTAAAAATTAATGTTGGACACTATTTATTCTTTATAAAAAAAACGCATTAACAGTGATTCCTATTGTTTTTGCATCTTTTCATACTCATAGATTTTTCTCAAAACAAGGTGTCTTGTGTCTATGTCAATAATTATGCAATTCTTTCGAAACAAAGGGTGTGTTAGGTCAAATGCCAAAGAACGATCTTCATGATGACATATTCAGCAAAAGCTATTGAAATTCTGAACAAATCTTTCTTTTCCCCCTGCTTTTGTCCCACATTGCACCCCAATCCAGCTCATCCATTCGTTATCATTGTATTCTTCCTGTTTTTTTTCCACATTGCACTCAGCCCAGCTCACCCATTCGTTGTCATATGTTTTCCCCGCTT